ACGGCGTGGTGGCCTTTGGGGCCGGCGGTGTTCTGAAAGCCCATCGATCGGGCGATGAAGCCAGGCGCCATTACCGCTGCAATTTTCAATCTTAATTTGTTCAGGTAATATCCATGGACAAAACCAGAAACTTTTTTGGATGGGATGAATACTTGGGAAAAAATATTACATGAGTTAGAACAATCAAGATTAAAATGCTTACTTTATGATATAAAAAATTAGATTATCCTTCGATACAAATAAAAATTTAAATTTGAGGAAGAACAATTGTCCCCTCTGAATCCTCTGAGGGAACAAAATATTGTTTCTTGATGTTTGCACGTCAAGACGACGATTCAAAGAAGAAATATTTGCATACGGAATACGCATGCAGCTTTGCTTGCGTACTCTATTAACCCTCTAATGCCCCCATAATAACCTATGAATAATATCGAAATAGAACCCACGAAGGTTATTTGGGTTATATGTTATTGAAATTAATACCTCAATAACCTCCCAATAATCCCCTAATAACCACAAAGCGGAGGTTATTACGCACGCAGCTCTGCGTGCGTAGTATGTATTCAAATATTTCTTACCCCCCATTCATAGGGCAGCACATCACCCATAAATGAGATGTATGATGGTGTGACACTCCGTGATTGGTCTTTCAGATGTGCATTATCCTAACACATTATTTTCTCATAAATGGGTCGAGCTCAAGTGAGTCAAAGATTGTTTTGTGTTTGACTCATTAAATTTTTTCTTTTCTTGTGTTCAGCTCGTTTATAAATGAAGCTAAAAAATATGTGTACATCTTGTTTTAAAGAATGAATACAACACAAACAACTTAGTGAGCTGAACAAAACTGCTCGCGAATAATGTTAATTTCTATCATATTAAAAATATCATTAATTTAACTTTTATATACTATTTATTTATTATTTAATTACTTGGAGCCAAACAAATTAAACATATTTGTGATTGAAAAAAAATTAGTTCATTTTCGGCTTAAATTGAGCTCAAGATATTTATTCGTGTTAAACTCATTTATAAATCAAACTCAAGAAATCTCTTCATATTCGACTCATTTTCATAACGAATAAATCGAAGACAAACTACCTAACAAATCAAATATAGACTGTTAAGCAATACTTACAGAAAGTGGCGGTCTTGAAGGTGGCAACACCCTCAGCGTTATTAAGCCGGCCTGTCACCAAAGTCTTCCTTGGTCCATCGCCGTAAATAAGCAAATTTGGCTTGTTCTTCGCCACCGTAACCTTCTCATTATACACCCCAGCCTTCACATAAATTACGTAGCGGCCCCTGTAAGTCTCCGGCATAGCATTGAGTGCGTCGTTGATCGTCTTAAACTGCCCGCTGCCATCCTTCGCCACCACCGCATTCGGCGGCGGTAGAGTCCGATTATCTCCGCCGGCGGCCAGTAGCTTTCTATCGGCCGCTGAAATCCAGTCGGGGTAGCTCAAGAGGCGGCGGCCGGTTAAAGCGGAGGCGGCTGCGGTTAAGTTCAAGTTGAGGTTGAACTGTTTTGCGAGCTCGGCGACGGCTGTGATGATGGCGATGGCGTTGTCGGTGAGCTCGGTGGCGTTGCGGAGGGCGGCGGTCATCTCGGCATTGAGCTCCGGCGACTCGATGCTGGCGAGGCAGTTGGTGCGGTAGGAGATGACCATGCTGAGCCAGGCCTGAAATAATGTTGTAAAGGTAACATTTTTGAACGTTATATATCCATGATTTGAGAATTAGTAAGAGTCTCTTTGAGATTATTTTTGGTCTGTTTTGTAATTTAAATTTAATTACATTGTCTAATAAATTAAATCCATTGATGGGTAACACTTGACTTATAATGTCAAGGATAAATAAAGTAAAATAGGACATTATTATATAAATTGTATCAATATGTTCTGTAATAAATGTGCTATATATAAAATTAGTTTAATACAAGGGGCGAAAAAAAGAGTCAGGATAGCTTGACCAATTTTATGTTATTCGGAACAATTGAATGATGTCCTATCTTTTAAGATATTTATTTTCCCAATTATATATATGTGCATATATATACATACATATATATATATATATATATA